CCTCCCTCCCTCCCTCCCTCCCTCCCTCTGTGTGTGTGTGTGTGTGTGTCTGTGTGTGTGGATAGTGTGTGTGTCTTTGTGTGTATACAGCATGACTATTAAACCTGGTAGTAGAATATCTCCATCCCGTCTTCTCAACACTCACACAAAATAATTGGTAATGGAGACAATCATTTATTTCTGATTTTAGAACAGTATGGACAGAAGCCTCAGACAGTAGGGTATAAAGAGGAGTTCATTTAAAAAAAAACAATATATTGCATTACTGTTGAAGATAGTTATAAAACATGAGGTGTTTTTTTTCCATAGTTTACCCTTTAATCAGTCAAGAATGCTACGCTTCATTTTCGCTATTCAAGTAGTCAATAACAATCATCAGATTCTGCACAATCTCACACTTGGCTACAATTGCCGTGACAACTATTCGAACACACTTGGCACTTCAGATGCCTTGTTGGACATGCTGTCAACTGGAGAAGCCAATGTTCCCAACTACAGTTGTGGAAAGAAGGACAACCTTTTGGCTCTTCTTGATGCAGCTTACAGGGACATCTCCATCCAGATGTCAAAATCAATAGCCACCTACAAAGTCCCACAGGTTGGTTGTGTATGTCTCTATCTGATAAAATGAGTGAGGTGAGGTGAGGGTTCCAACCATATCTTTTCTATGGAATTCAAGAACTGCTTTTCACCATGGCCCTTGTAGGTGTCATGGCTAAGGATTGGGATCCATAGTGGAGAAGGGGCAGGAATCAAAGCAGGCATATGCTCTAATGACAAAATTTGTATTGCTTTAGGCGCTTCTGGTGCATACTTCTTAAGATAGGGAGAGGCTCTGTGTCCAAAAGCTCTTTTTCCTGTAAGGAAGAGGCAATAGAGATGGAAAACCCATATTTTGTATATGATCTTAGCCAAAATAATGGTATTTTTAATGGTAAACTAATTTCAAATATGTGAAGAGAATCCTAATGACTGTATATAAACGATGGTTATAAAAGACATATGTCTTATTGACTCAAAGTTATCACTGGCATTAACAGTTTATTTTAAAAATTACAAGCATGTTTGTCAATAAGGCAACTATTTTTTTAACTTCATAAATTCACCATAAAAGGCTTGAAGAGCAATAAATCTACCCATCAAACAATTCAGCAAATATGCTGAGTGGTGGGACTCTCTTTTGGCAGGTCCCATTAAGACATACAAAAAATACTTGTCATATCCAGTTGGGAGGAAGATAGCAATAGTACTTCCTATGTATAAAAAAGATATAAAAAGGACCATAGCAATCACATTTGTTAGTCTAATTGATAGTAAATTATTATCAAAGTGTCAACTTGTAAAGCGTTTCAATGACTATTATCAAGTTGACATAAAAGTCAGAGAAAAGGGAGAATACCATGCATACCTTTGGCCAGAGTCAACTCTCATATTTCTACAGCTAGCATGTGAAATGTGCATGTCCATAGCCTGCCACAACACATTTTTGGTGGATGTGATTTATGACACAGACAGAAGGGAGGGGATAAAGAGGTAAAGTTCAGATGCCATAAAGCGGAAATCACTTTCGGCTATTAATAAATGAATGGATTTCGTTTGAACTTTGTTTCTAGGCTCATAAATTAATTAGGTCATCTTTTGGAAACTTCACACAAAGAAGCTTTGATCAAGAGCATTAGTAAATTAAATAAGTCTAACTATCAAGCATCCTTAGCCCTAATTATAAAAGTTTATCAGGCAAAGGTTATCCTGATGCTGTTATATGAAACTGAGATTTGGGGCTTAAATATCACTACTAGAACATGCTAATTCAGAGCATCTGAAAAATATCTTGGAGGTGTCCCAAAGATGTTTTTTTCAAGAGGCAACTGGACTTTCTGATTTTCAGAAACTCCAGTTTGGGACAATCATGAGCTGGATATTTGACAAACTGCATAGATATCTTGGAGTTGGGTAGAAGAACTTCAACTCTGACCTCAGAGCTGAATTGGCAAGCCATACAATTTGTTCTTTGTCTAAAATCAAAGCGTATAATTACTGGTGTGAACTTAAAGCTATGGAAACTGATAGACTCTCAAAATTGTGTATGTCAGAACAGGCAAAATTTCAAATAAGGATCTCTTGGATAGTAGAACTGACAAATTTTATTAGGAACTGTGGTCTCCCTGTCTCTTGTACAGAAGTAGGAAAGCTAGAAAGATTACTGCAAACAGAATCTGGGATATTGAAGCAGAGAAAGATATACCATAGATATGCTCAGTAAGGCTGACCATAGAAACAGATGAGCCACTATAAACATACTTTCCCAATTGTCAAGAATTTAAATACAGAAGGGCCTTAACATTTTGAACGGTATTTCAAAATGCAGATTTGA